ATATACATATATTCATTTTCATATTCTTTTTCACTAAAGAGTATTATAAGATATTGAATACAGTTCCCTGAGCTATACAGAAGGCATTTTTTAAAATCTATTTTTATATATAGTAGTATCTGCAAATTTCAAACTCCCAAATCTATCCTTTCCCACCATCTTTCCCCCAGTAACCATGAGATTGTTTACTATGTCTGTGAATCTGTTTCTGTTTTGTAGGTGAGTTCATTAGTGTCTTCTTTTTCCTTTTTTTTAGATTCCACATATTAATGGTATCATATGATATTTTTCTTTCTTTTTCTGGCTTACTTCATTTAGAATGATGATCTCTAGGTCCATCCATGTTGCTGCAAATGGCATTATTTTATTCTTTTTTATGGCTGAGTAGTATTCCATTGTATAAATATACCACAACTTCTTTATCCATCATCTGTTGATGGACATTTTGGTTGCTTCCTTGTCTTGGCTATTGTATATTGTGCTGCTATAAACATTGCGGTGCATGTATCTTTTCATATTAGAGTTCCCTCTGGATATATGACCAGGAGTGGTGTTGCTGGATCTTATGGTAAGTCTATTTTTATTTTTTTGAGGAATCTCCATACTGTTTTCCATAATGGCTGCACCAAACTACATTCCTACCAGCAGTGTAGCAGGGTTCCCTTTTCTCCACGCCCTCTCCAGCATTTAGCGTTTGTGGACTTTTGAATGATGGCCATTCTGACTGGTGTGAAGTGATACTTCATTGTAGTTTTGATTTGTAATTCTCTGATAATTAGCGATATTGAGCATTTTCTCATGTGCCTATTGGCCATTTGTATGTCTTCATTGGAGAATTGCTTGTTCAGGTCTTCTGCCCATTGTTGGATTGGGTTTTTTTTTGTTATTAAGTTATATGAGCTATTTACATATTTCTGGAAATTAACCCTTGTCAGTTGCATCATTTGTAAATACTTTCTCCCATTCTGTAGGTTGTTGTTTTGTTTTGCTAATGGTTTCCTTTGCTGTGCAAAAGCTTATAAGTTTAATTAGGTCCCATTTGTTTATTTTTGCTTTTATTTCCATTGACTGAGTAGACTGCCCTAGGAGAACATTGCTAAGATACATGTCAGAGAGTGTTCTGCCTATGTTTTATTCTAGGAGGTTTATATTGTCTTGTCTTATATTTAAGTCTTTAAGCCATTTTGAGTTTATTCTTGTTTATGGTATGAGAGAGAGTTCTGACCTCATTGGTTTACATGCTACTGTCCCCAGCTGAGCCTTTAAAAACAAATGCTATTTGAGTTTCAGAAACCCACTTCATATCTTAAAAATATCTAAAGTGATTATTAAATAAAATTTTAAAACAACAAATACTTATAATGTATATATATATAATATATGTAAAATCAAAACTGAATATGAAAAATAAAAGAAAGAAGAAACTGTGTGCAAAAATGCTTTAACATAAATTAAGAATGTGAATATATCTCTAATGTGCCTTCAGGATTTTTTTCCTTCTGCTTAATGTGGACCAACCCACAAGTCCAGTGGAGTTTAAATAGCAACTAACCTTACTGAGGGTTTTATCATGGACTGGGTAGCCTTCTAAGCACTTAATATGTACTGACTTCTGTTTTCTTAAATTGAGATATAATTTACATAACATAAAATCTGACATAACATAAACTTTTACATAACACAAAATTCACCATTTAAAGTTTACAACTCAATAGTTTTTACTATATTCATGAGTTTGTGCACCCATCACCACTATCTTGTTCCAGAACATTTCCATCACCCCAAAAAGAAACCTGTATCCATCAGCAGTCACTCCCCACTCCCCTCTGCCTCCAGCCCCTGGCAAATACTCATCTATTTTCTGTCTCTATAGATTTGCCTATTCTGGACGTTTCACATACAGGAAATCATACAATATGTGGCCTTCTGTGTCTGGTTTCTTTCATGTAGCATAATGTTTTCAAGGTTAAATCCACATAGCACATATCAGTACTTCAACTCTCTTTATTGCTGAATAATATTTCACTGTATTAATATACCACACTTTTTTATCCATTTATCAGTTGATGGGCATTTGAGTTGTTTCCATTTTGTGGCTATTGTGAATAATGCTGCTATGAACACTTATTTGTGTGTAAGTTTTTGTGTGGACAAGTTTTCAACTCTCTTGTGTATATAACTAGGAGTGGAATTATTGTAACTATATTTAACTTTTTGACTGCCAGACTGTTTTCCACAGCAGCTGCACCGTTTTGCATTCCCACCTTCAGTGTATGAGTGTCCCAATTTTTCCACATACTTGCCAACACTTATTTTCCTTTTCTTTAAATTTTAGCTATCTTAGTGGGTGTGAAGTGGTATCTCACTGTGTTTTTAATTTGCATTTCCTTAGTGGCTTATAATGTTGAGCAGCTTTTCATGTGCTTGTTGTCCATTTGTGTATCTGCTTTGGAGAACTGTCTATTCAAATCCTTTGCCCATTTTTCAAGTGGGTTGTCTTTTGGTTGTTGAGCTGTAGGAGTTCTTTATATATTCTGGATATTAGACTTACCAGATATGATTTGCAAATATGTTCTCCTATCCTGTGGATTTTCTTTTCACTTTCTTTTAGCCTTTTTAAAAAATTTTTTATTTTTAACATTTTTTATTGATTTATAATCATTTTACAATGTGTCAAATCACTTTCTTAATAGTGTCCTTTGACGCACAAAAATTTTTAATTTTGATGAAATCCAATGTATAGATTTTCTTTGGTGGTTTTAGCTACATGTGCTAACTTCTGGAATGTTTACAACCACCATGTGAGGTAGTGAGTATCATTAGCACCCCCATTTTACAGATGAGGAAATTGAGATATAGGAAGGTGAGCACCTTGCCCAAGACTAAGCAGCTAACAGGCGGCAGAGCTGAACACAGGCATTCACACCCCAGGACCTCCAGTTGGAACCGTTCACCACTCCGGCACGCAATCTGCTGTGCAGGAGTAGGAGCTTTAAACTGTCCCTGAATCAAGATTCAGATAGCCTGCCTGACAGTTTTCATAGCTCACCTTTAATGTTCATGAATTAATCCCAAGGGTCAGTGACAGGTGGGGACTGGGAGAGGGCGTTTCCAGGGCAGCTTCTTCAGGGATGCAGACCGGCCTCCATGAGCCGAGGCCCTGCCCACTTTGCCTGCCATCAGAGCTGCCAAGGCCTCAGACAGGGAATCTGGCCCCTCAAAATAAGAAAAGTCAGCCAAAATGTGAGGCCTGTGTAAGTTGGTCAGGTTGAAGAGCAAGGGGAGCCCCAAGCTGAGTCAGGGACAGTAGGAATGGAGGCAAGAGGGCACAAGGTCTTGGGAAGGATGAGGAGCAAGGAGAGACCTAATCCAGAGGTGGGAGCCAAGGAAAGGTGCACTCTGGTGGGCGTGTCTCCCAGGTGTCAGGGTCGGGGAGGCAGGTGGGGGCAGGCCCTGCCTGCATAGGTCAGCCACCTGAAGAATGGGGCCGTTCCTGTCTGACCTGCTTGGGGAGGGCAAGAAGCACTGGTCTGAGGAGTCACCTAGTGAGGACCCTTCTTTCTACCATGGGTGCCACTGCCTGCAGGCTGTCAGTCTGCCCTGTGGCCCACACCCCACTAAAAGGTAGCAAGGTCTACACTGGGCCTCCAGAAGCCCAGGACCACCTCCTGACAAGTTTCAGCATCACAAAGAAATGACAGGTCTCTCTGTGTCTTGTCAGGCACCAGGGATTCCTGCTTGGGACTTCCTTCCTTAGGGCTAACCTGCCCAAGGAACTTTAAATCATAATAAAAACACTAATAGTAATAATGACCACAGCTGTCAAATGTGCATTTTGTGCCAGGAACTGCACTAGGCTCTTTCCAACCATCCATCCATCCATTCATTCATCCATCATCGCCAACCTTATTAAAACCCTGAGGAAGACATGGTCCCTGCTTTCAGAGGTGGAAATGGAAATGGACACTCACAGAGTGAATGGCTTAACTGAGGCCACCAGCAAGTAAGTGACAGTGTCCCCCTCACAGGGGCATTGCTAGGGTGGCATCCCAGGCCACACCTCACAAGCCTGACCACCACCTAACCCCCCCCAACCCCACCCCCGAGGAAGCAGGAAGAAGGGGCTGCTGCTCAGGCTGGATGTAAAATGGGGGCTGTGACCCGAGAGGAAGAGGTAGGGCCAACTGGTTTTGACAAACAGTGGCCAAGGGCTGCTGCCTCCTCTCACTCGCTCCTTAGACAGTCCAGCACAAGAAGTAGTCTCTGACGCTGGCTGACCCACAGGGTCTCAAATATGTCTGAGCGTCAGGCTCACTGGACAGCATTTAAAAATACGGATCCCTGGATACAGGGATTTGGATCTATACATGTGAGGGGGGCCCAGGAGTGTGCCTTTCATGGAGCCTCTGGTATTTCCAATGCAGAGCCAGGTTTGAGAACCAGGGGCTGGTCCCACTCCTTCACTAAACAGTCAAGAAAACAAGATCTCAGTTGAGGGAAGTGTTCTGCCTACCATCCTACAGGTAGGAAGTGGCAGAGTGGGAATTTGGTTCCAGGTGGACACAGCTGTCAACATTAGACTGCGCCTCTGGGAGGAGAAAGCCAGCTTGAAAGCTGACCGTATCTCTGGAGCCTGGAACGGAGAGAAAAAGTTACAGGGCAAAAAACGGACTCAATATATACATATTTAAGATTTCTAAAAAACTCTGTTCCAAAAAAGCAAAACTCCACAAAAGATAAAAAGCATACTAGAAGCAATACTTGTAGCAAACAAGGAAAAGAGTTAATATACTTGTAATTATTTATCTATCTAGACAATTCATTCAACTTGATAAGGAAATCATCAGGGCTAAATAAACAATTGACTAAATAAAAATAAGCAAAGAGCTTAAACATGCACAGAACACAATAGTTAGTAAACAAAAATTTAACAGAGAACATTTGAACTGATCAGTAAACTTTAAAACATAAACTAAGACAAGATACCATTAACAGATTACTTTTAATTATATTTTATATATGTACATACATATGTGAATTAATAGAAAAGGATTGGGAAGGAGCTGTCTGATTGCCTCTTAATGTCTATTCTTTTTTTCTCTCTTTTTTTTTATTAACCAGACCCTTCTCTTATGGGGGGTGGTGAGGAAGTAGCAACATGATTACCTGGAATGCAGACATGATGGCTGGAGCTCCAGGGACCACATTAGACCATGTGGAGACCTTAGGGATGGATGCTGTAAACTGAGGATACCGAGTATAGAGTTAGAAGTTTAGGTTCTTCATGACCAGTGACCACAGGTCCACTATGCTAGCCCTGAAATGCTTTGCTCAGACTTCTTTTATGTGGAAGAAAAATAAATATTTATTTGTTTAAGCATATGTTACTTCGATTTTCTGTCATGTGCAGTTGAACCTGAACTTTACTGATACACACATCAGGCCTCTGTGGAAGTGTAAAGGGGACTGTGCTAAGGTATTGCTTTCATTTATTAGCGTTACTTTTTACATTAAGGATGTATTCACATATTATTTATATAAGCATCTGTTTTGGAGCCTCAGAGAATCCCTCACCTCCTAGTCATGTGACCTGGACAGTCTATTTCTCTGAGTCTATTGGCTCATCTACAAAGTGGGCATGATAATAATAGAACTTATCTCATTGGGTTGTTGTGGTGCTTAAATGAACGACTGCAGATAAAATTCTCGGCACCGTGCCTGGCTTACAGCTATTACTCTTCTACATTATGCCATCACATAGACACTGGTGGTGGCGGAACCAATTAGAAAAACCCAGGACATGTTGTTGAGTAAAAAAAACAGATTGCAAAACTGGCACAGGAGTATGATCCCTTTTGTGAAAAAGTGTTTTTATTTCTACATAGATATGCATATCTCTGCATCAAGAGATGTCTGGGAGGGATGGCTGACTAAATGTTATAGTGGTCATTTCTGGGGAGTAGAAGTTTTGCTTTCTTCTGTATGGTTGAAAAAGAATTTTTTTTTTTGGAGCAGGAAAATTAAAAAAAAAAGAAAAGCCCCTTGGAAAATAATATAACAATTCACATCAAGAATCGTGAAAGCATCCATACCCTTTGACCAAACTATCACCCTCTTGGGAATTGACCTGAGGAAATAATTCAAATGAAGGAAGAAGCTACATCCATAAAAACACGCACTGCAGCATGATTGATAATAGAGAAAAATGGAGAACCACTTAAGGGACTTACATCAGGATAATACTTATTAAATTATGCACTCACTGGAACATTCAAATGAGAGAGATGATGACCATGACAACAATTAATGAGAAAGATGATGGCCATGTAACAACATGGGAAACTGCTTATGACAGAATGAGAAGCCAAAGGAGCAGAATGCAAAACTAGATCTGTGTCAGGAGCATGACTGGGCAGAGTCTTGCATGGGTCTGGACCAGGACTGGAAGGGAACACAGACAAATAAATAGAGATGAATTTGTTGGGGCCACTAATTTTGGATTTTTTTCTTTTTCACTTAGAATTCTAATGTTTCTAAGTGTGGTTTGTGTAATTTTTAAACATTGGCTTTAAAGATCCCCTCAGGGAAAAGAAGGGGAAGCAGAGGGAGGAAGAGAGCAGGGAGGAGATGTGGGATTCTCCCAGAAGTGGGGTCTGGATGAGAGGAGCTCAGAGGTGGTCTGACAAAGGGACACAGCTCCAGCTGGGTCTTCCACCGGGGTGGCCCCAGACATTGCATCCCCTTTGCTCTCTGACTTGAAAGTCATCAGATGGACCAAACCAGTTGCCTAAGTTAGGAAGGCAGTATGTTAGTTGTTAATAAAGCTACGGTTAAGAGTGCTTTTCAGATTGGAATTATTTGGAAAAACTGATCATGCTTGTTATGGACGCCCAGCAAGCTGGCAAGGGTCTGAAATGCCAGGGCTCCAGGAGGGTGGTTTGGCACTGTGTATCCAAATGAAGGACGTGTGTATCCTCAGTGTCAGCAATCCCACTCCTTGGGATTCGGCCTAAAGCTAAGGAAGTGATCAAGCCAGTGCATAAAAATATTTCCATAAGGCATTCGTTACAGAGTTTGTAAAAATAAAAAATTAAACCCTCAGTTTCACCAAAAAGGAATTGGTAGGCTAAATTTTGGGAAATCATGCAGTGGCTACACTAAAAAACCCAGAATGTAGATATAAAATTGACATGAAAAAAATGCCCACTGCGTCTAAAGTAAAACAAGAAGGCTCCAAAGCAAGATGCACCCCATTTTTGGAACACTGTATGTCTAAATATGTTCATTTGCGTATAAGAATTTCTGCTAAGATACACACCAGACGCCTACCAGTGGTTAATCTTTGAATGCTAGGATGACAAATTTTATCAGGCAGCTTAGTCTCAATTATATTGCTGCTGTAACAAACAACCCCAAATCTACTGGTTTACAACAATGAGTCTTAATGTCCCACTCCTGCTCCTGTCTGTGACGGTCAGCTGCTCCTCTGCCCAATGTCTTCAACTCTAGAACCAGGCAGACAGAACAGCCTGTATTGGAACACTGCAGGTCTCTGCGGCAGAGGGAGATGGGGGACCACTCACTGGTTCTTCCATTCTGTGCTGGGCAAGTCTTACGGCCTTCCCCAAGCTCAACAGGGCAGGGATACATAATGGAAAACATTTAGAGCAATAATACGAGCTACCACACAAGTTATTTCATCCTTGTCTTAGTCCATTCAGGCTGCTATAACAAAAATACCATAGATCAGGTGGCTTAAACAATAAATATTTATTATTTCTCGAGTCCAGGATCAAGGTGCCAGGAGATTCAGTGCCTGGTGAGGGCTCAATTTCTGGTTCACAGCCATCTGACTCCCCTCTGTGTCTTCACAGGGTGGAAGGGGCCAGGGAGTTCTCTGAGGTCTCTTTCACAAGTGCGCTAATCCCATTCACGAGGGCTTCATCCTCATAACCTAAGCACCTCCCAAAGCTCCACGTCCAAATACCATCACCTGGGGGAATGAAGTTTCCACATATGAATTCTGCAGGGGACACAAACATTCAGTTTATAGCAATCCTAACACTTAAAGTCCTTTCTTTGCAGAATGCAGTTCCTTCCCAGGAAGTGGATGGACTGACTCCCAGCGATGGGACACGTGGGTTCTCAGCATGGGGGTCTCTCCAGGAGGGAAAAGACAGACACCGAGGCCAAGCTGCCCCACCCCAGGAAGAGATGGTGCTTCAAGCCTGAGGCAGACGGGCCAGAGAGAGGTGAGGATTTCGTCTAATTTAAGAGACAGGCCAATCAACGTGACCCATGGTAAGAATGAAACAACGATGTGACAGAAAGTTCTAGACGTCTACAAGTGTTATGCCAGCTCTGCTACTTACTGCCTCTATGGCTTGAATCAAGTTAGAGGGCCTCTTTGAATGTATGTATGTGTGAATGTATACGTAAAATGGAAATCAAAAGAGATGCCCTGCTTCCTTCACTCTAGTTGGCGATGGGAGTCGGGTGGCTCAGTTGTCAGCTTTAAAATTGTCAGCGCTCTAGGCAGGGAAGGTTTGGTCCCTCAAGCTGTAACCGCAAACTCAACACACGTTACATATCCACATTTCTTCCCCACCTCATCACAGAGTAGCCTGTTCGCCCCTCTCACTTGTGTCTGTGGGCTTTTCAATAGCACAGGTGAAACGATGACAGTGGACAGCTCCACGTGGAGGAGGAGAACCCTTCTGATGGATGAGCCAAGGAAGGCCTGGACGCAGAGGGAAGGACCCACTCCGCTTGGTCATGTCTGGAATTAGCCTCATCCCCCTGTTCCTCCTGATCTCAGCTCTCAGGATGGAAGGCAAGAGATGACAGGGCTTCCCAAACTGGCCTGATCATTAGAGCCATTTAGGAAACATTTAAAAACTAGATTCCTGGGCTCCACCTCCCAGAGACTCTGATTCACCTGGTGAGGGTGGGAGCAGGCTGAGTCACAGCAGGTGATCTGTGCCATCCTCACCTGGCTCCCAGCCAGCCCCTCTGCACAGGCCTTATGAGGTGCCCCAGAAGGGAGGGCCTGGGTATCTCAGGTGGCACGAGCCCTGGCAGCTGGGAGAAACCTGAGTGGGCCCAGGTTATCTGATGGCGCACCTGCTCTGGCCCCGTGCTCACATCTTGAATATCAAGATCTAGGGAAGGCTCACAGAGGCTCTCTGGGCAGCACAGGTCACCCTGCAAGCTGCCCCAGGCCAGAGAAGTAAGAAAAACGTATTTCCCCTTTCCTGCTCCCAGCCCATCAGAACCCAGAGTGCCGCAGGCTTCCAGAGCCCACCTCCACATCATTACTGATAACCCTGGAGTTGATCTCTTCACACATCTATCACCCTGGCAGTGTGTTCCTCGAGGGCTGGGACAGGTCCTATTCCTCTCTGCCTGCCGCTCCTTGCCTGGCACACTATTAGTGCTTGCTGAATATTTCATGAACAAAGGAGCAGTAGTAACTCTTACCGTGTTACCCCAAGGTCAACAAAGGACTGATATTCACACCCACTAGGCAGATGGGAAGTGCACGTGCTCACCTCTGAGGGGTGGGGGAGCCCCATCCTTAGTTCCCCAGCTAGCAGCTGAGCTTAGCATGCCCTGATTTGCAGGGGTACCAAGTCACTCTTGGCATCACGACACCCTTTGATGATACGTTATGGGGCCTCTTCACAGGAAAATGCCTGTTTCCCTACCCGCCCCCTCACACCCTGCATAGAATTTCTAGGTTAAGAGTATCAGCCCTTAAAAAAAAGGAAAAGCTTTTTTTATGGATGCATGCCAATTAATGAATGTGGATGGAATGACAAGAGTCAGAAAGGACTCATTTTGTAACCTCCAATCTAATCACTGATTAGATAATAATCTAAGGATCGATAATCAAGGATCATTGATTAATGTTAAAATCACTAGGCAAGTAAATGTGAGGAAGGAATCTCAGCCCTAGACTAAGTCTCCAGCCCCCAAACCCCACACCTGAGGAAGGAGCCCAGACAAAGGAGAGGCCCACAGTCAAGGCGGGCCCCAGACGGGCCTAGCAGGTGACCTTTCTGCAGGTAAAAGACCAGGGAGAATTACCAGGCTCTAGGTCTTTCCTGACTTCTCTCCTCCCCTTGCCCTGCTTAGCTCTCCCCACTTTCACTCTCTCAAGGCAAAGGCTGGGGGGGGGTGCTGGGGGGCACTCTGGAGGGTCTGTGAGGCTCCAGACACCCCAAACATATCCTCTTGTCAAAAGAGAAAGGGCAAGACTTGCTCTGATCTTTCCCACGGTTCTCAGTCCAGCAGGCTGCTGTGCTGGACACACGTGTCCTGCCCTGTACTGCAGGGGCCGGAAGCCTGAGAGCTGTTTCTCAGAATCTCTTGCCAGCCAGGATTTGCAGGGCCTACTGATGAGAGGCACCCACAGAAATCATTACTCCTTCCCTGGCAGTGGCGGGTGCCCCTGATGCCAGTCCCCAGAAAAGAAATGTCCTCCTATCCACCTCACTGCAGCCATTCCCCTGGGGAAGCCAGGGCTCAGCAGCAACAGGGATGAGAGCACCTGCCAGTGGCGATGTCTGCAGTGTCAGCCCAGCCCCCAAAGCTCACCTAGCAGTGTCCTGGGATACAGGGCAGGCGGTTATCCTCCTGGCACAGGGGAGGGGGTTCTCTGCCGCCAGGTGTCTTGGAGCTGAGACAGCAGATCCAGCAACAGAGAGTCCAGCACAGCCAGACCCTCCCACGAACACCGAAGCCCCCTGGGAAAACAAGAGTCCTGGCTGTGATGGCCCCATCTTACCAGTTTCCATCTTCACCCTCCACCAGTGCCAAAGCCCTGGTACCCGTAGGTCCCTCCTTATCAGACTTTCTCATCTCTCCCATGTCTATGGATCCACAGTCAGGGTACCCTGGGACTCCTAACCCCCTGCCCCTAACACACCTGTGATCCAGCAGCAACAGGCCCTGCTCCAGTAGCATCTTCACCTCCCTGCTGGCTCCAAACACATCCCACAGGGTCACCGGCGGCTCAAACTGCTGCCAGTGCTGGGGAGACCAGAAAGGTCAGAGGTGCAGGGACCATAACATGGGAGCTGGTGGGGCTGTTCTAGGCCACCTGTCTGGGAGTGTGGTGAGGGATGGAAAGGCGGGTGTTCAGTCACCAGAGGGATCTCAGAAACTAACCAGCATGCACACCAGGACTAGGCCAATGGACCAGCAGGGAGGAAGGCACCTTCACTCCTCTTCCACATTCAGGCCAAAACCCAGCTCCAGCCAAGCCAAGACTTCCCCTGCTCCTCCCTGTCCTTGTTCTGGTCGGACTATGGGCAGCCCCAGCCAGGGCTTGACGGCTCTGACTTCCTCCAGAGCAGCTCTGACTGATCTTTATCGACTGCACTTCCTATCTGAGCTTTCGGCACCGCTTAAAAATATTTGAAAACTCTTAATCTAATCTCTAACTTTAGATCGCTGAGAAAACTGACATTCACAGGTGAGAGGGTATGTGCCCGAGGCTGCAGCAGAATGGGGACCAGAGCCCGGGCCTCTGCAGCCCCGGTCTAGGGTTCTCACCACTGCACAACGCTGCCCGCTGCTTCTACCCAGCAGACCTCGGCTGGACCAAGGCCCTTTGACCTCTTACCTGGTGAGTGATCCCCACGTCAGTGCGCAGCCCCATGGCCAAAACTTCCTCCAGACTGAAAGAAAATCCAGAGAACGGTCTTGGAGAGGAGACTTGTGCTTCTCCCATTCTTCACACCCTGTGCTGGGATGTGTGTAAGGGGGCTCATGAGGATCACACAGCAGGGGTGGGGTGGGGGGAGGGCGAGGCAGGAAACAAAGGTGTGTAGGTGGGTGGTTCTTGGGGTACCGGGGAACCCTGGGTGAAGAGCCCTGTGCCCTCAGATGCTCACAGCTCCAGCTCGCCCAGGGGGACGCGCTTCCGGGTGCCGTGCCCAAACAGCATCACCTCCTTCATCCAGTTGTCCGGCTCCAGGGTCTGGATCCGAGCCTCCCGGGTGTGACTCCCAGCCCCCTGGGGCACAAATCGCCCATGGGCACCTAACAACATCAACAACCACCCCCACTTTAATAGCAGCTAAAACTGTGCACTTGCCAGATGTTAAATCAGTGCTTCTCAAAGGGTGGCCCCTGGACCAACAGCATCTACTATGCTAGAAGTGTAAATTCCCAGGCACTACCCCAGCCCTGTTCAATTCCTGAAATTCTAGAACCTGGATGCAGCCCAGCTGGGTCTTAACCACCCCTCCAGGTTATTTCTGATGCACACTAAGATAAAGAACAACAGCTGTACGAAGTTGGTAGTATTTTTTGCCACACTTCAATACGTATGAGGAAATAGAGGCTTGGAGAAGTTTATGAGTGGCCCGAGGGCACACAGCCCTGACACCGCTCCCCTGTGTCATCCCTGCTACAGTTCACGGGGGACTCACCAGGCCCAACGCCAAGGTACTGACCACACTGCCAATAAGTCCAATTGTGGGTACTAAGCGCCCCCTGTGGACAGGGAGGAGACAGTGAAGAGTGAAGAGGGTGGACCCAGTCTCCGTTCGGGTAAGGGGCTGAGCCTGGTTAGAATGCCCCACCATCTCAGGCCTCCAGAGCACCCTTCTCCCCGAAGGACCACAACTGCCTGGTCCCGCCTCAGCCTTCAGCCCCAGGACGTACATTCCGGGCGAAGTTGGAGACCTCATACTGGCGGAAGCCAGCCTCCCGAAGGACTGCCCGTCCCTCCTGGTACATCTCAGCAGCCAGCTCAGGGTCAGGGGCAGGAAGGGTGCCCTGCTGCACTTGGGTGAAGAGTGCAGTGCCCCGCTCCAGGGACAGCTGGTAGAGGGAGACGTGGTCATCACAGCGGCGCAGCAGCTCCCGCAGCTGCCCGAGCCACGGCCCCACTTGCTGTGCCGGCAGCCCCAGCATCAGGTCCACAGACACACACCCGGGGAAGAGGCGCCGGGCCTCTGCCAGCGTCTGCAGAGCATCGCTGGCCGAATGTGTCCGCCCCAGCAGCTGGAGCTCAGTGTCATCTAGGGACTGGGGAGAGAGGGTCCAGTGTAAGCAAGCAGGTCAGCTCAGAGGGAGACGGGAACACCTGACTGACACTGTAGACACAGATACGAGGGAAAATGCAGGACACGGCAGGGAGCTGGAAGGCAGACGGTCAAGCCAGTAGCAGGGGTACCATCCACTGAACGGTCGCTATGTGCAAAGCCTTCTTATGTAATATCTAATTTGTCCTTAAAACTCTCCAACATTAGCTCCATTTTACGGATGATAAAACTGAAGTTCAGAGATGTTAAGTAACGTGCCCAAGGTCATACAATGGTGAAGTCAGATCTGGAATTTAGGACTGTCAGACTCCAGGCCAACGGTCTTTGAGTTTACTTTTTCTTTTGAAATATTTCAAATCTATAGAAAAGTTGAAAGAAATGCCCAATAAACACCTTCCTCCAGATTCACCAACTAACATTTTGCCATATTTGCTTTGTCTCTCTCTAAATATATACACATACTATTATTATGCTAAATCATTTAAGGGTATAGACCAGCGCTGTCTAAAAGAACTATCTGCAATGATGGAAGCATTCTGTATTTGCACTGTCCAATACAGTAGACACTAACCACACGCAGCGATTTGAATTTTAAGTTAGTTAAATTGAAATAATCACATTCTAAGTGCTGACTAGCATGTGATCAGTGGCTCCAGTACTGGTCAGTGCAGATACAGAACATTTTAGTAGAATATGGATGTCAGTGGCCACATGCTAGTGAGCACTTGCAATGGAGTTATTTACATGTAATTAACTTAAATATTGTACCCTGGTACTCCTAAATACTTAATTGTGTTTCCTAAGAACAAGACATTCTTTTACATAACCACAATCTAATTATAGAGCTCAGGAAATGTAACACTGATACTATACCATTACCTAATAGATAGGTAATCAAAGTTAGCCAATTGTCCCTAAATGTCAGCTGTAGTAATTTCCTCCTCCCACCCCAATCCAGGGGTCACACATTGCAATCAGCTGTCATTGTCTTTCTCTCTCTTTTTTTTTCTTTTTTGATCACTGTTTCTTTTGTCTCCATCAGTCGAGGTCCTTAGCCTGCCTTTTATGACGCCGACATCTTTGAAGTGTACAGGCTACTTGTTTTTTAAAATGTCTCTTAATAAGGCCTAGAGATCTGCTATACATCATTGTGCTTGCAGTCAGCTACACTGTGCTGCACACTAAAAAAGTTGTTAAGATGGTAGATGCATCTCATGTTATTTGTTCTTATCACACACACACACACAGTCTCAAGTTAGGTGTTCCTGACGTTTCCTCACAATTTGATTCAAGATATGTTTGCATTTGGGGCCAGAAAATCTCAGAAATAGTGTGTTCCTATCAGTATGTCCCATCAGGACAAAGCCCTGACCCCAAACTCTATGGTAAGTGGTATATGTATTAGAACTGGGGGCATGATACTGGCTATGAAAATACCAGGGACAAACCTGAGAGGAATATGTTTCTCCCCACTTCAAAAAAACCTTCAGCGATTCTCCTGTTACCACTAGGCAAAACTCCAAACTTCCTGGTATGGTACCGAAGGCTTCAGTCTTATCTCCAAGGAATGGCTCACAGTTCCCTCAAAACATGCAGGCTCCTCCATATCCTGTGCCTCTTCCTCTCACACCCCCTTTCCTGGTGAACTACTCCTTCTCATTCAAACATCACCTCCTCCAGGAAGGTTTCCATGATTTTATCAGACTGAGATGCCCTTCAGGCTGTATTCTGAAAGCCTTTTGTAGAGATCCCCCTTAATAGACAGCCTTTACCATACTACAATGATCTGATCACCTGTCTTCCTCCTCCTGTGTCTCCAATCATGTAACAAATCTTTTTCAAGCATCTACTATGTGCAAGGTACTGTAGTTCATGCTTGGAATATGTGACAAACAAAAAGGTATGCATGATCCCTGCCTCACAGAGCTTGTGGTCTAGCACTAGAAGCAGACAATTAAGTAGTTATAAAAGTGTCACCATACACTTTTCATTGCCTTCTGGGCCCTGGGACCCAGAAGGAGCTCAGTAAATGTTTGCTCAATGAACATAGCCAGAGGAAAGACAGCACTGGGTGCTAGGGATGAGGTGGGTGAGATGGGTTACCTGGAGGCCAATGGACAACCTGTTGACTCCTGCCGCCCTGAATGCTGCCAGTCTGGAGCCTGGGGCCGAAGTGGGGTTGGCTTCCAATGTGACTTCAGAGTCTGCAGGCAGGTGAGTTGCCTGGGCCACTGCCTCTAGGACAGCTGCCACAGTATGGGGGCTGGCCAGACTGGGGGTACCCCCACCGAAGAATACAGACTCCACCCTGAGGAAAGAGGATTGAGAAGATGAGGCCTGGGGGAGCCCTCCAGGATGCCTGCATATGTCCTATCCACTCCCCGACATTAATTCTCAAATCCCCGCCTACAGCCCCCAGTACCCACCGCCGCACCCCGCTGAGCCGCAGCAGCGTCTGAGCCTCGGTCACCAGACAGCGCCGAACAGCAGCCTCGTCCACGCCGCGTGGGATGTACTTGTTGAAGTTGCAGTAACTGCAGCGCTTCTCGCAGTAGGGCCACTGGGGGCAAGGGACGTATGAACAAGACGGGAGGTGACGCCAGGCTGCCCTAGCCACTTCCAGGGTTCAGTCTCATACATCTCCAACCCTTTTCCCGAGGTCCCTCAACAGTGTACACCCCATGTAAGCCACAAAACCCCCCAAGGCGGGTCGGACGAGGATTAGGAACCCACTTCAGTATAAGAAAACTGAGGTTCAGAAGGGAAATCAGTTGGTCAAGGGTCACCGAGCTTGTGAGCACCGGAGAATTTAGGTCTCCGCACAAAGACATTTTCCTGCCAGGGAGCAAGTGCCAGACCTCGTCCGGGGGCGGGGAAGATGGCAGGTGGGCTCGCAGCGTGACAAGCGGCCACGTGAGCTCAGACCCGCCGCGCCCGAGCCCCGTGACTCCGCCTCCCACTTCCCACTCACG